AAAAGATATTTTATTTCTATAATAAACTTAATTTAAACAAACTTTTAGACTATAAAGCATTTTTCATTTCATTTAATCTATTTTCAAAAAAAAGTTTATTTGCTTTTATAAATATTATAAAATTAAAATCATTTTTTAAGTAAAAAAATTTTATATTTAATTTTCGTTTAAATCTATTTCGTTTATTTATTTATTGAAAATTCAAATAATTCTTTTGACGAGAATATAAGAAAAATTAGTAAATCATTAAAACTCTAATACTCTTTAAAAATTCATTATTAATTTTAATATTATACTAATTCTATAGTATATTGTTATAACAATTACCTAGATTTACATAGTTTTATTAAATATTATACAAAAAAATATTTGATTAATTTTAAATGAAAATTACGAGTAAATGCAACATTAAATCAAAATATTAATTAATGTGATCTCAAAAATGACTAAATATGTGATAGCATATAAAAATACAAATATGAAATGTATATAACTTAAATATATCATATAATGTGTATACTTTGTAGTATAGGATCAATAAAACATTATTCTATGTGAAGAATATTCAGTATGATATAAATTTCAAGAAACATATCTGCTTTCAGTCACTCCATCTCAAGGCATAGAATTGAATATAAAAATGTTTTTTCTTTGTCAGTGTATATGCATATAATATATGCAGACAATGTTACTTTAACTCTATAAATCAATGAACCAGTAATATAAATCAGTTGATTGAGACAAAATATATTAAATCATAGGACGATTTAAAGTAAATTAAATAATAGTAGGTACAAGTAGTACATTGTATTAACATAATGTAATTCGTAAAATAAGAAAAATGAAAGTTTAACAATTAAGCACAAAATATATGAATATTTACAAAACTCGGCTGTTTTCAATTAATTAAAAGTTGTATTTTATATTCGTGTACTCAGTATTTAAGTTTTCCTAAATATTTAGAATTTAAACCAGAATATTCCAACTTTGTTGAACAATTTATATTTTTGTGAATTTTTCAATGTAATCCTATGGAAAAAATTAACATAGTAATAAAATTACAGAGGAAAGTATGGTTATGAAAAATTAAATATTATGATGAATTAACAAATTACATATAATAAATATTCTAACTTTGTTGAACAATTTATGTTTTTGCGAATTTTTCAATGTAATCCTATGGAAAAAGTTAACATAGTAATAAAATTACAGAGGAAAGTATGGTTATGAAAAATTAAATATTATGATGAATTAACAAATTACATATAATGGTTAATCTGCTGAATTAGTATTATCTAATTACGTTTACTATTTCAAGAAATAGATAAGGTCACAAAATCAATAATATTTTAAATTTGATATTTTCACAATAAAATTATTCCTGGTAGACCAAGAGATTATCAATTATTATATAAATTATACCAAATTAAACATGAATTATCTAGCTATAAATTCTACAAATTACTGTTAAGAAAAATATTCTATAACATTGATAAAATTAAAATAATGTAAAAGCTGTAAAAGCGTCAGGAATGGATAATACACCCTGTAATTGTAGTAAAACTTATAGTAACTTGTAGTTAATCATTGATTGATTAATAATCAATTAGTGAAATACTAAAATATATATTAATATGATAGGGAAGGGGAGAGGAGAGCAATTTGGACATCTCTGGTACGTCTTCCACCTTCACATGAATTGGGAAATCTGACGAAATAATTGATTCCTCGAAGACATGAGTTGAGTCTTAACTGGCAATCGTTGGGAAACGTCTCTCCATTAGAACCTATAGTTGTTATGAGAAATTGATTTTTGGTTTTACTGTTGAATACAGAAAGAGATATCTCTGAGAGAATATAAGAGACATTTACCGCAAACAGGACTATAACTGTGGGCGCAATACTCCAAACACAGGCACTTAGCTCTCGTCACAATACCTGCCGATCGATTGTCTTCAATACAGTTGCCATTATTCTCACAGTACTGTCGCTCACACGGCACTGGTATGGGAGAGGGAGACACACAATCAGACTATTGATTTAACTTATCATTTCATTCAAACAAAGAATAACTTTATTTACAATCAGTTACTGTTGCTCTTCTTCTATAGGGTTCGTCTGTAAGAAGTATTTGTTAAAAGAGTTAACAAAATTGATTCAATTTATATAATGTAAGACAACATTCATTACCATTGATTATAGCATTCATTCGGTCTAAGTTTGGAAGAGTTATCTTCAATAAAGTGTTGTTTAGTCGTAAAAAGCCTTCGGAAACGGGATTCAAGAAGAATATCCAGGTGTCTCTCTTCTTCACATTTGAGTAACACAGACCCGGACTACCAAAGCCTCCGATTGTCACCCGATTGTTCTCCAGAGAGTCGTGTCCTCTAAGAACTCGTTTAATGACAACCGAAGCGCTGTAAGTGTCGTCTCCATCGCTGGGATACGTCTGTTCAACAAAAGCCGTCACAACCACTGGTGGTAACTCTTCCTCACGTCGGGGACCCTTATCTCGACACTCGGGACGAGTTCTCAATCTATACCGAATTCTGGCCTCAATTCCCGCACATAAGCAATAAATTGCTAATAAAATGGTCAACAATTTAACCATTTTTAAATCATTAAACAATTGTATTAATATTTCATTGATATTAAAATTAAAGCCATTTTTGTGTTTTGCATTTAACTTTATTTGGAAAAACTTGTTATACAAAGACGTGGGAGTAGTGGACAGGTATTGGAGAGTTATGTTATAACTTATAAGAAACTCAAACTTTGAGCCATTGATTACCATCTAATCCAGTGCTAAACCATCTGTTACTATATTTTAATATTTCTAATTAATCATAACAATTATCATTAAATATATGTTATAAAACTCTTCATCTAAAGTGAATAAATATATTGATTTAATAAATCATTTGTATCTATCAATTGTTGTATATTTAAATCATTAATAAAGCAACATTATAATATACATGCATAAGTTGCAACGGAAAGTATATGGTTAATTTAATAATGCTAAAACTGTCTAGTTATTAACCTCTAAATCATTTGCAATTATTAATACTGTGTAAATCTTTATTTTTCAAAACCATTTTACAAAACGTTATCATTTTATATTAAATAAATTATATAAAATAATTACTTTTAAGAATAACTTTTAATTTTGCATTAAATGTACATTAAGTGTATATTTCGTGTTTTATTTTTAAATAAAATATAATTAATTAAACAGCGAATGATTGGTTAAATTGCAATAAATAATTACGAATCGCTTTCTTGTGATTACATTAACTATTACTGCAATTATAATTAAATTAACAAATCATTGAAACGAGTGTTGAGTGGATGTGAAGTGAGATGTCGTTAGGGTTTGAGTGAAAGCATGCGTTCGTGTATTGAGTGATCGGTTGTAGCGATGATTGTCTTGAAGTCGAGCGCAGCTCTTGTGTCCAATACGGAAGTGCTGTCACTCGTGAGGCAAATGCACACAAACAGACACAACAAACAATTGGCCACAATTGCATACGAGACCATCAAATACTTGGAGGACTCGCCGGCCGCCCGACTCACCGAACAGCAGATCCACGACTTCGTCCTCAAAGTGAAGGACACTTTCCGTCTGACGAAAGCCGAGAAACTTCAGGTCATTAACCAATTGCCCAACACTTTGGTTGAACTCCAGCTCCTCATCGAAGAGAACGAAGAGAGGTTCAGCGAACACGCCATGGATCAGCTCTTGGACATCATCAACACCACACTCAACACACGCGCCGACACCGACAAAGACTCGGACACTGGAAACACTACCGATGATAACAATAGCGAAGATAATTAACCCGTTGTTACATTTGATGTCATGGTTTTGCTTCTTGGGATCAATTTACTCATCCAATGACTAAATATCTGTTAATTTATTGTCAATTCATTGATATTAAAATCTAATGCATTGTTTGAAAGACTTGTATATTTGATATTTTTGTGATAAATATTATTAAAATGTATTTAATTTAATAAAAATGTAAAAATTTATAATTTAATACTCAATCGATTGACTAATCAATTAAGACTTAATTATTAAGTTATGCATTGAATCTCTTCCGACATCTTTTGGCATTCATTTCACCGCAACTTCTCATCCATTCATCAAATTTATGGTCAAATTGTGTTTGAAATGCATTTAAATTAATTGCTATATTGAGTGCAAATCACTATTAATTATATTTAAATGTGTTTTAAACGTAAAAAAGTGCAAAAATTAACTCAAAAATAGTTTAAAAGTTTGTTAAAAATGTTTAATCAAATGCTTGTGTATTGAATGCCTTACGAATGGACACATAGTGTGAATGCGAGGCCTAAACACATGTATTGTTAATGACTGGCATTTGTTTTGATATTTTAAGCGCTCTATTCTGTAATGCATTGAGTGTTGACTACAATAGGAAAGCATTGATTTAATTGTGAGACAATGTGTGGGTAATTGTCACACCAATTGATCCAAACGATGGCACACTTGGACGGCAACCATCATCACCACCAACAGGGCCTCGACGTGACCGCCGATGACGCGCCTCAAGACAAGCTCTCGTTGTTTGAGTTGCAGTTAAATAAACTGCAATTTGCGAAACAAGAGTTGATTTGTTCCCTGAAGTCGGACAAAGAGATGGCCGCCAAGAAGTACGAAGACTTGATCCATACGATGAGACAAGAGTTCGCCGCTAATGAGATACAACTGAACCAAACGATCGACGGCTTGAATGACGAGATGAACAGAAGTAAACAGAAGAGCATTCAAGACGTGAATGAAGTGACGGATCAGTTGAAGGCATCGACTCAACAGCTGATGGAAGCGAAACAAACGGCGAATGCATTGCAAGTTGTGGTCAAACAGAAGGACTCGGATTTGAATCAATTGCGAGAAGTGTTGAACAAATGTGAAAACGATTACAAACTAAAGATCAATGAATTGGAGAAACAATTAAATGATTTGAATAACAGTTTGATTGATATGAAGACAAACAAAGATCTGACACAAAATGAGTTGAATTTAATGAAAACTAAAGTGAATTCATTAGAAATGGAGAAACAGTCCATCAATTCGTCGCTTTCGATGTCTGACGAGAAGAACGAAAGTTTAGTCCAAAGATGTGAAACACTTGTGTCGGAAAACCAAAGACTCCAACAAACGATTGATAGCGAACTGAAAGCCAAACACGAGAAGATGGAAACGATTAGCTCTTTGAGAACTGCTTTGAACGACAATCAGACAGAAATCGGTAGACTTCAGAACAAATGGTCCGAAATGGAAAAGTCGAGAATCAATGAAATCAATGCTTTGAAACACGACTTGACATTAAAAGAGCAACAATTTAGGGAACAATTGAATCAAATGACTGAAGAGAGGAGCCTTTCGGACAAGAAGTCCGTCAATGATATTAATTCATTGCTCAAGAAATTACAGGAAACTAACGATGAGTTGCATCGCGTGAGAGATAGTTCTGAGAAACAGAAGCAAGAGTTGGAGTCAGTTGTGAACCAAATGGACAAATCAATTGTGGATTTAGAGTCAGACAAAACTCAAATTCAAACCGATTTGAATAATAAGATAATGGATCTGAAGAAACAATTGGAAGAATTTGAATTCAATTTGTCTGAAATGAGTGCAAAACGTGACAAAGCTTTGAGTCAATTGACACAAACGAAGACTCAATTAATGTCTTCTAATAACGAGAAAGAAGTGATTAAATCGTCTCTAATTAATGCCAACGAAAAGTGTTATTCACTTGAGTTTACTATTGATTCGCTCAATAATGAGATCGAAAAATATAAACAGTTGTTTGAAAACGTGTCACAAGAAAAGCGAGAAAAGACTCAATTGATTGAAACTATAAGCGATTCCTTACGAGAAGCGGAATCAGAAGTGGAAAGACTGAACAAATTGAATATAGATCTGGAGAAGAGTCACAAAGAGCTGGAGAGAAGTCATAGAGAATATGAAGACTCGCGGTCTTCGGTTATGGATGACTGCAATGAATTGAGAGCAACTCTAATGGAAGTCGAAAAGTCTAGGCTTGATATTAGACGGGAACTCAATGACTATAAAATCAGTTATTTTTCGCTCGAAAACAAATACAAGTCTAAAGACAATGAATTACATGACATGAAGAGACGATTGGATGCACTCGAAGGCGAAAGGAATTCATTACAGAACTCACTCGAGTCGTCGGGGTTTGTATTTATAATGAAGACTTGTTTCCCATTTTTAAGTATTAATTTATATTTTGACAGCAAATCAATCACTCAATTAAAGGACATGAATACGAATCTCTCGCAACGAAATAAGCAACTGATGGCACAAATGTCTTTCAATGAGAACGAGCGCAGAGAGTTTGAGAGACAATTGAATTCCACGTCAATGGCTATGACTGATAGGGAAAGCAACTTATCTTTACTTAAGAAAGAAAACGAATCGTTAAGAGAGAGAAACCTTAAACTGGAAAACGAAAAGAAGAGAATCGAAAAGAGTTATTCTCTCATTGAGAAAGAGAAATATGTTTTGAAGACTAATTTAGACGATATTCAACGCAAAAGTAGCAAAACGTTTGACAATTCACACAACGATGTGATTATAGATGAGGCGAAGATTATCACTCAAGGATTGGCTGCACTCGAGCTGAAGAATATTGAATTGCAACGAAAGGTTCAGGGATTGCAATCATTGATGAATGAGACCGAAGCCATTAACGACACGGATTCAGGCCATCCAATCAATGGCAACGCTTCCGATGATTTACATCGCTTACGGTTGGCTCAGAAACGCGCCGAAGAGCTTATCGATCGGAAAGATTTTTCGAGTAAACATCTGTCCAATTATGAAAAGGAGGTTTGCATTCACTTTACAGTATATGCATATAATTATATTAATTTATTGTTATTGTCTTAAAGTTGAGTCGATATTCATTGAGTCCCAGTCTGACGACAACTCCTCCCCGATTCAAAGAGCCGCCAAATCGTTCGCATTCCGTCTCACGAGTCGGTCATCTTAAGCATCAAAACACCGATACTTCCACTCCATTGCCCGCGTATTCGTCCACTTCTAATATAAATAACGCTAAACGCAAACTGAATTACAATAAGAATTGACAATCGTTTGAATGGACTCCGAGTTGGATCTAGTCTTTCGTCTACAGTATTGTTTATATAAAGACCGAACACTTGTTTCAGTATTAATTATTAAGTCTGTAATTAACTTATTGTTTATAAGTTGTCAGTATTGAGTTTATGCAACTTTTTAAGTTTTTATAAACAAACATCTTTTAACTCAGCATTCCTTTCAATTCCACCGATTATTGGCAACACATTTATTTTACTGTAGTATTAAATGAACTAATATTGAGATTATATATAAATATTATATTAATGACTAAACAATCGTTAATATAAAGCAAACACTTACTGAAAACACTGAACTAATTGTTAAAAAGTTATATAAATTTCAAACTAATTAATTGATATTTTATTTTTTCAGTTTTATATTCTTTCTATTCAACTATATTTTGTTAAATAATGATTATTTTGTTTTATTTGTCAAATACTTAATTTATTCTATGCTATCATTCATTATATATGTATGTCTTATATAATATTTTATTCCCAAAATATATTCCATTCATTCCGTCCTCACCTAAAGTGCCATTAAATCTGTTTTAAACAAATTTCATCCAATTTTACTGACATGTAATTCAACAATAATTTAATTAAATCACTATAGAATTTATGCACACAATTAATATTCTGCTGTTTTATCTACATGTATATCATTAATGTTTTAGTAAATGATTAAACACTTAAATAGCCGTTAATTAATAATTAATGTTTGAATGAATTTGTAGTAAAAACAGTCGCTTATAATGAAGAGGCGATTGAAAAAATAAAGTATCATTTGTTTTATCAAACATCTCACGAAAAAATTACATGTTTTGCTATCAATTGAAATAAATATTTATTTTAAAACAGCGATAAAACTCAATGAATTTGTCGTCTTAATAATTAATATGTGCTAAAAACAGGCATTTCAGTGAAGGCCATAACATGATCGCCAGCTTTTATTTCAATTTTATGTATGTATATATACTTTATATATGTCTTTACATCAAATATATTTGAATCCAATTTAATAACAATTCACTAAAATTCATATAACTTTATAATACATAAAAAATCTAAATATATATCTATGAAAAACATTTGATTATAAGAGCACTTTTAGTTATTACACGATATTTGAAACAATTTGTTGAGGTTTTAATAATGTTTCATAAATTAAAAACACTAAAATAGATGGCAAATAATGTATAACAATATAATTTTGGTTTGAGATTTTGCAAAATTAATCAGATCTTTGGATATGAAATTAAATCATAAGAGTATATCTCATGTGAAATGATGTCAAACTGATAACAATTCAATTTCATACTTATTATACATTTGATTTGGTTCTGACATTATTTTTTAAAAAGACTCAAAACTAATATAAAAGGGTATAAAAGTGTGGATAAGAAGAGGATTCGGTTGAAAGAGAGCGAAGAACTGGAATTACATCCGTCTTCTCTGCACTCACAGACATGTGTCTTAACGGAAGGGTTGGCCGTCTTATAGCAGGCTTTGCCAGAGGTCTCGAAACCACAGCTGCGGATAATGCGGTGCTCTTTCTGCTCGATGTCCTGTTCCTGTTTTCGGCACAGATTATACTTTCCCGCAAACGAGTCGTTCAGTGAATCGCAGTCCACATAATAGTTGCGGATATTATCGTCTAATTTGCTCTTATCCTGAGTTCCCGACGGAAGGGTCGCACAGTTTTCGTTGAGATATGAGTTGCATTGCCAGCAGTGGATGGCCAGACCAGTCTCGGCCACAATTAATACAATCAATACAATTAACAAATTTCGTAACATATTTTGTGTGTTTGTCTTCAAATGAAATGGTATTTAGAAATTAAAATGGGGTTAAAAGGTATATAAGAGGCGGAATATAACGACTCGAAGGGCACAACCAGTTGTTGCCAGTCTTACCCAACACTAGAACCACAAAAAACTATGTTATAGTATAAGAGAGAAAAAGTTTTAAGTGAAACGCTGTGTTCAAGAGCTAAGTCTGAGGCACCGTTTGTTTGCAGTAATGGCACTCCAGTAGAGGATTATGTTATATAAGAGCTAAAAATAAAACCATCTCTATTTTAGAGCTCAAATACTTGTGACATAATTTCAATTTCAAACCACACTATCTCTACAACTCTGGAATTGAACGCTCAGTACAGAACTCATTCACATTCACTGGTGCTCTGGTGGCCAACATATATACATAGCTATCAAACAGATTCAATGCTCAGCGGTTTGTCGACTTTGCCACCACTTCTCATCTCCTATTCGTTAT